CTCCATGATGTTTCTGGCATGAGAGACTGAAGAACTCTCCGAAAAAGAAGGGGTGTATTAATGGAAATACCATTTGGACAGCACTGGACAGACCAGGGGCCAGGGGTCACGGGTACAGGGGACCCTTCTCTATTCCCTGTCTCAGCATGCAGTGTACAAGAGGAATCACAAGAAACATGAGCTTTTCAGGTAAGGAAAGCTACTTTATACAGAGAATTCACTCATCCCACAAGTTTTGGAATACTGGAAATGCAAAGTGGCCCAAGGGAGCGTGGCAAATGCCAGCTGCCTGGGCCACCCAGGTAGCCCAGTTATCATATGAACACTTCATAAATTTATTACGAGAACTTGCTTTTCTCCTATTTGTCTACAGACAGTCTAATATTTTAAAGGAAGCTGGGGGGTACTGAGCTATTTTTATCTGTCCATTAGTTCTTACTCTATGGACTCTTCAGTCCACGGGGACACACAATTCTGGGAGAAGAAAGGCTAAGTGCTCCTTTGTTGTTGTTGCTTAGTGAAAGAGGGTCGGAGGAAAAGAAATCCAAAAAGGAAGCATGTGAGGAAACTTCCAGCTGTGGTGGAGCAGAGGTCAACAATTCCTCTCTCTAAAAAACAAATATAAAACTGGATGAAATTGTCAAAAATAATAATTTCAGGGCTCTGGAAATGAATCAAAGGCAAATAATTTCAGGTAAGAACAGTGGGAGTCTGTAGCCCTCATGCCTAAAATTGTTCTCATCTGTTTTCCTCTTTTATTTTAAAAAAAAACCATAACAATTAATAAAGCAATAATTATAGTACTATACTACTGGGTTTATAACACAGATAAATATAATACATATGACAATAACAGCACAAGGAAGAGGGAAGAGAAGGACCTACATTAGAGCAAAAGTTGCTATTTTTACCATATTAAGTCAGAAAAACCTTAGATCAACTGGGACACCTTACATCAACTGGGATAAATCAACCTTAAATGTGTATTGTAATCCCTAGAATAATCATTAGAAAAGTAACTTTAAAAATATGGTTATACTCGACTATGTGCTACCTGCAAAAAGTACACGCTACAGATATGTATACTACACTAAATGTAATCAAGACAAAGAGTGGCTATATTAATATAAAACAAGGATTTCACAGCACAGAATATTCTCACGGATAAAGAAGGTCACTTCATAATGGCCGAGGTAAATTTCTCAAGAGGACATAACCCTTCATATTTATGTACTGGTAACAGTTTTAGAATACATTGTTAAAACTACAAGGACAAGTAGAGAAATCTACAACTATAATCAAAAGATTGCAATATTCTTTGCTCAAAAATGGATAGACTAGGTAGCTAGAAAATAGAGATACAGAAGATATGATCAACAGTCAATGAATGGTATCTAATTAACATTTATAGAGCCTTTCTCCAACAACAGCGGACTAGCATTTTCTTAAACGATAGACCACATTCTGTGCCACAAAATGAGTCTCAATAAATTTAAAAGGATCCGAGTCATAGAAAGTACATTCTCTGACCATCATCAAATTTAGTTAGAAATCAGTAACAGAAATATCTCTGAAAAATCCTCAAGTGTTTGGAAACTAAATGAAATACTTCTAAATAATCCATGGATCAAAGAAGAAATCAAAACAGAAAAGTATTCTGAACTGAATGAAAATGAATCAAAATTTGTGGATGCCATTAAATGAGTACTCTAGCAAGAAGTGTCTACAGCAAAAAAGAAGAAAAGCTTCAAATGATGACAACTCTACCTTAAGAAACTAAAGAAAAAGAGCAACTAAAACCCAAATGGTAAGCAGAAGAAAGGAAATAATAAAGACCAGAGCAAAAAGAAATGAAATAGAAAAATAGAAATAATAAAGAAAATAAATTTAGGGGCGCCTGGGTGGCTCAGTCGTTAAGCGTCTGCCTTCGGCTCAGGTCATGATTCCAGGTCCTGGGATCGAGCCCTGCATCGGGCTCCCTGCTCAGCGGGAAGCCTGCTTCTCCCTCTCCCACTCCCCCTGCTTGTATTCCCTCTCTCGCTGTGTCTCTCTCTGTCAAATAAAGTGGTTGTATCAGTTTAAAAAAAAAAAAGAAAAGAAATTTAAAAACTGGGTCATTGAGAAGATAAATTTTATAAACCTCCAGCTAGATTAATAAGGAAGAAAGAGAATACATAAGTTGTGTTATCAGGAATGAGAGCAGAGACAACACTTCAGATTCTACAGATACCTAGGAGATGGGAATATTATGAACAACGTTATGCCAATAAATTCTACAACTCAGATGAAATGAACAGATTCCTTGAAAGACACAACTAGCCAAACCTCACTCAAGAAGAAACAGATAATCTGAATAGCCCTATGTCTCTATTAAAGAAACTGGATTTTGTAGTTAAAAATGTTCCTACAAAGACAACCAGTAAAGATGACTTCACTAGGGAATTCTACCAAATATTTAAGAAGGAAGTAATACCAACTGTAAATAAACTTTTCCAGAAAACTGAAGAAGAAAGAATTCTTCCCAACTTACTCTACGATCAACATTACTAATACCAAATCCTAGTAAAGACATTATTTATTAACAAAGAAAATGCAGACCAGGGGCGTCTGGTTGTTAAGCGTCTGCCTTCGGCTCAGGTCATGATCCCAGGGTCCTGGGATCGAGCCCCACATCAGGCTCCCTGCTCAGCAGGAAGCCTTCCTCTCTCTCTCCCACTCTCCCTGCTTGTGTTCCCTCTCTTGCTGTGTCTCTCTCTGTCATATAAATAAATAAAATCTTTAATTAAAAAAAAAAACTGCAGACCAATATTCCTCATAGACATAGATGCAAAAATTCTAAACAAATTTTTAGCAAGTTGAATGTGACTTGCTAAAAAGGATAATAGAACTAGGAGGAGTCTGTCCCAAGAATGCAAGGTTGGTTTACCACTCAAAATAAATTATCTTTTTTTTTTTTTAAGATTTTTTATTTATTTATTTGAGAGAGAGAATGAGAGAGAGCACATGAGAGGGGGGAGGGTCAGAGGGAGAAGCAGACTCCCTGCCGAGCAGGGAGCCCGATGCGGGACTTGATCCAGGGACTCCAGGATCATGACCTGAGCCGAAGGCAGTCGCTTAACCAACTGAGCCACCCAGGCGCCCAAAATAAATTATTTTAAACAAATAATGGATCAAAGAAGAATTCACATGGGAAATTAGAAAACAGTAAGAGAAAAAGGAAATAAGAGAAAAAGGAAAAGTAAAACCCAACATACCAAAACTTATGGGACACAGAGAAAGCAGTTTAAGGGAAGTTTATAGCAATAAACTCTTACACATTAAAAAAATAAGAAAGATCTCAAATCAACAAACTAACTTTAAAACTTAAGGAATTAGAAAAATAAGAACAAACTCAACCCAAAGTTAGCAGAAGAAAGTAAATAATAAAGATCAGAGCAGAGGTAAACAAAAGAAAATAGACAAACAATTGAAAAAAAATCAATGAAATCAAAAGTTGATTCATTAAAAAGTCAGCAAAATTCACAAACTTTTAGCTAGACTGACTCAGGAAAAAAGAGAGACGAGGCCTAAAATTATTAAGAAATGAAACTAAGTGAGAATATTACTACCAAGTTTAGGGAAAGGAAAAGGATTATAACAGAGTACTATAAACAACTGTCTGCCAACAAATTGGATTACTAGATGAAATGGGAAAATTCCTAGAAACACAAGGCCTATCAAGAATGAATTACAAAGAACAGAAAATCTGAACAGATATTTAACTAGTAAGATAACTGAATCAGTAACCGAAAAAAATCCCAGTAAAGGAAAGCCCTTGACCCAATGGCTTCACTGATAAATTCTACCCATTTAAAGAACCCCAATTTTCTCAAACTTGTCCAAAAACTGAAGAGGAGGGAACACTTTCTATCTCATTTTATGAGGCCACCATTATCCTGATACCAAAGCCAGACAAAGACACTACCAGAGAACAATGCTCCAGACCAATATCTCTTATGAACACTGATGCAAAAATCTTCAACAAAATACTAGCAAACCAAATTCAGCAGCACATTAAAAGGATTATACACCATGACCAAGTAGGACTTATTCTTGGAATGCAAGGATGGTTCACAACATACAAAAATCTATTAATGTGATATATTAACTACATTTACAGAATGAAGGGGAAAAAAACCCACATGATCATCTCAGTTGGTACACAAAAAGCCTATGACAAAATTCAACTACCTTCCATGATAAAAATACTTGAAAAATAGGAAAAGAAAGAAACTACCTCCACACTATAAAAAGCTATATATAAAAAACCCACAGTAAACATCACATTCAATGGTGAAAAGCTGAAAGCTCTTTTCTAAGCTGAGGAAGAACAAGCCAAGGATGTCCACCTTGGCCACTTCTACCCAACACCGTTCTGGGAGTTCTAGCCAGGGCAATTAGGGAAGAAAGAGAAATAAAAGGTGAGAAGAGAAGAAGTAAAATTATCTCTGTATGCAGATGATATGATCTTCTATGTAGAAAACCCTAAACATTCTACCCACAAAAACTGTTAGATCTAATGAATTCACCAAAGTAGCAGGATCAAGGTCAACATACAAAAATCAGCTGCATTTCTATACACTAACAATGAACAACCTAAAAAGGAAATTACAAAATAATTCCATTTACAAGAGCATCAGAAAGAATAAAACAATTAGGAACCAACCTAATCCAGGAGGTGAAAGACTTGTACAATAAAACCTACAGAACACTGCTGAAAGTAAAGACATCCCATATTCATGGGTTGGAAGACTTAATACTATTATGATTTATTATACCCAAAGTGATCTATAGATTCAATGCAATTCCTATCAATGTCCCAATGACAATTTTTTTTTACAAAAATAGCAAAACACTCCTAAAATCCATATGGAGTCTTAAGGGACCCTAAAGAGTCAAAACAATCTTGAAAAGGTAAGAACAAAGCTAGAGGACTCACAATTCCTGATTTCAAAACTTACTGCACAGCTCCAGCGATGAACATAGTGCGGTACTGGCAGAGGCAGACCTATATACCAGTGGAGTAGAATAAAGAGACCAGAGACAAACCATAAGGTTTTAGAAGGTCAAGGAAATAAATAAACTGTGTATACAGTCAAATGAATTATCAAGGGTGCCAACATCATTCAATGGGGAGAGGTGATTTTTCAAAATGGAGCTACAGTGGTTATCCTCCCGGCAGCAGCTTCTGCTGAATCTAAGTGGGCCTCCGTACACCTTACTTAGGACATGACAAACAACCTTGAGGGCAAAAGTTGAGTCAAACTGTTGAGTCCACTACTCTGGCATTGTCTTTCCCCTGGGATTTAGGATCCTCAAATATTGACTGTCTTAGTAGCTCTGAATTCGAATTTTAGCATCCCTACTCAGAGATTCTGAAACAAGGTCTGGACCACTGCTTTCTGTTTGGTCTCTGCCGCATACCACGAGTTGGCCAATACTCCCAACGGTTTAAAAAAGCAGGGGTAAATATGGAGCTCAAGTCAATGTGTTTTCTTTCTGCAATTTTGGCTCCTGCCAAATTGATCCTAGCTGCCTAGGTTAGTCCCCAATGCCTTTAAATACACACACACACACACACACACACACGCAAGCACTACTATTTTAAACAAAATCGTAATTCTCAGTAGAGTCTGGTCTGATATTCTACCTAAACAGAAGTTTATATTTAGTTTTAATTACTGATGTATTCTTACAGACTATACCATAATTTTCCCGAGAAGAGAAACTGTCTTTTTATTTCCTGATTCTGCTTTAACACCCAGAGCGCTATCTGGCACACACCTCAGTATGTATTTGACAAGTTAATTTTTCTATCAGGAAAAACTGTTAGAAAGCAAGTAAAGCACAGCACATAAAACATTACTTCCAAATCATTCAAGTCTGTCAGTTCTTCTGCCTCCAATGATCTCCACTAAGACATGTACGATCTTTTCTTCTCTAGCCCAAGCATTAATGAGCAAATCCCTCAATAAAACTGTGCATTTTTAATGCTTATTTGAGATTAAATTACCTTAGGCAGTTCTAAAAGCTTTTTTTTCATTTACTAAAACTATTTTGTACTAGATTAAGTGATTTCATTATCTTTTGGATTAACTAATCCAATTCTAGGTCTGGCATTTTATCAGAAAACAAAGATTTTTCATCCAAAGTAAAGCTCTCTTAAATTAACCTTTAGAGTCCCCTTGACTATATTCAGTTAGGTTTTTCCAGAACAAGAAAACAATGGTACACCAGAAGCTGCTCAATACAAATTTTAGAATTGAAGAAAATATACTGAAAGTATAAACTATTTTCTTGGTTACCTTATCAATCTGCTATTGTCAATCCCTAACCAAACAGCTAGAAGAACTGAAAGTAGTTGCCTCTGGGAAGCAGAAATTACAGAGGTTATGAAATAGGCCAATGGATTCGCACTTTTCCCTATAAGCACTTAAGAATTATTAATGTTAACTGCATATTTAAATTAAATTTAAAAGCATAACTGTAGAAAAAATAAATAAAAACATAATGGGTACAAACTGAGACACTAATTTAAAAAACAAGGCAGATTTAATCCTTAAAGCAATAGTGCTGAAGGTTGTTTATGTGATGCCACGGACTCATGAGACAGCCTTGAGGCCATTCATTTATCCTGTGGGGCTTTTTAGTCCCACATTTGTAAACCTAACAGTAAATCAGAATGCCAAGGCCCTTTCAACAGTAATAATTCTAGTATTCTAAAACTTCAGTAAACAGTAAGTGGCAGGACACAATTTAAAAGAGAATATGTACTTGTTAGATAAAAGTCAAATTCACAAGGGCTTGTTTTGTAATGGATGGTTAATGAAGTTATAGTGATTAGCACAATTATTTTAGGATGACTCGTAAGAGAGTTAAAGGAAGATGATATGGTATTAGGGAATCTATCTCCGTTGATGAGACAGCTCCTACGACATAAAGCATGCATGGTCCAAGCATTAATGCTGCATCTGGGGCCCGAGAGAGCAGTATGTGCTGAGTGTCACGTAACGGCTCCTGTTCTAGTGAGCTGGTCAAGTGTCACAACCCGCCCTCTCCTGCAGACTGTGAGTAGTCAGAGACCACAAGAAAGTGGTCCCAAACTGCTGGCTCCAAAGGATGGGCACGCTCATCCATATTTACAGCTAGATAAGGAAAGGATTCTGGCACTTCTTATATGGCTCTTGACAAATTAAGAGCTCTATCAGACATATCTTTCCATTTACTAAAAGATTATGCATTTTGGACTGTTCAATTTTAACTCACAGACTTTGAAATAAAAGAACCAGCATCCTATCTACTTTTAAACAGCAAGAATAGAGATCTGTCTTGCAGGAAACAAAAGCAAGACAAACAAAAAAGCCATACATATGTATCGTTACAGAAGTGTCCATAGGAAGTAAAGAAAGGGGAAATTGGGTTTGCAGCACAAGACTGTCTAGCGTCCAGAAACATTTTTCTTTTTGTATGTTAACTATTCTGTTTTGCATATTTCCTCCTGCACTGTAAGTACCCACTAAATGGAAAAAACTTGAAATTATTATTATTATTTTTTTTTTTTAAGATTTTATTTATTTGACAGAAAGAGACACAGTGAGAGAGGGAACACAAGCAGGGGGAGTGGGAGAGGGAGAAGCAGGCTTCCCGCTGAGCAGGAAGCCCGAGGCAGGGCTCGATCCCGGGACTCCAGGATCATGACCTGAGCCGAAGGCAGTCGCTTAACCAACTGAGCCACCCAGGCGCCCCCAAAAACTTGAAATTATTAACTGAAGTTTTTAAGTTTTTGAATTGATTTGTTTTTTTTTTTTTAAACAGTTGGAGTACCTCTAAATCAATGTTTCCTTACAAGAGCAGCAATATGGGCGGGGTGTCTGTGTAATGTCTAACCAACACAGCAGAAAGATAAGAGGAAATCTTTGGTATGCCCATTTCTAAAAGTCTTAATGGGGGAACCATCTGGAACCAGCTGCACGACAAATCCCACGTTCACCTAAACCTCAAGGGTTTCCTCGTGGGTATAAGAACAGACAGATGCCAACAGGGTGTGACCATTTCCCACACTGCAAATGCCTAAGCAGCACACGGAGTTTGGAAAACTCCACAGGACCTCGAGGCCCCCCGGCGGCTTTCCTCAAAGCATCCGCGGATTAGCCTTTCTTCTCCCCCTCACTTTCCCCAGAATTGTATTTTTTTTTTTTTAACCAATACAATGTCCCTAAAAATCATAGAGCCACAGAATTTAGGTGGGAAGGAACCAAGAGACAATTGTTAAATTACTGATTTAATGTTGGAATCATCTCCATCAACTTGATTATTTAACTTTTTAATCAACTTGATACATGGCAAAGTTCTATAACCAAGGGGAAGTAATTTATAATTACCTAAAATTACTCAACTGACATAGCAGTCTAAGAAAATGTAGTTTATGTTACCAGACAGCACCCAATGCTATCAAAGAAAATAATAATTTAAAAATCTATTAAACGTATAAGTCAATGCTAGAGAATGTGCATGACTGCCTCAGTTACTCCTCCATTTTACGGAAGAGAAAAGTGAAGCTCAAAGAAGCTAAGTAATTTGCATGAGGTCACACAGTAGGGGCAGAGCTGACACTCAAGTCCACGGCCTTAATTACTACTCTATGTGTGATTCTCAGTGTGATCAATGCATCACCTGCAGTACTTGTACAAATGCAGACCCCAGGGTCTCACTTTATACCTCTAGAATCACAAATCTGTAGGTGTGGTTCTCAGGAATCTGCATTTTCCCCACAATTTTTTACACACAGGGTTGAGAACCCCAGTTACAAAAATGAACTTCTAATGTACTCCATTACATTCAATATATAGGTTCAGACAGTTAGTCAGCTTTGTCATGTGCTGAGCCTTATGCCAGATGCTAGAGAGGCAAAAACGAGCTCACAAGTCTAGAAAGGAAGACAGACATGCAAACTGACAACTTTAGTACCCCTGTGATACACCCTGTGGAGTTTGGGAACACAGGGAAAATGAACTACAGATGCAAAGACCCCCAAAGAATATGCCCTGAAGTATAGCAAACACTGTCCTGAAGTCAAGGAAGAACTAGGCTCCCTCATTTCTGTGAGGAGGGAGTGGAACGTGTGAAGATGAATCCCTGCAGGGGTGAAGCAGGGACACAAACTATTTTGCATAGATGCTGTTTTCTAAGCTGAAGGGGCAGACACTCCCCAGATGGAAGGGGTGGAGTGAGAGGATGGGGAGGCATTCGGGACCAAGGTGAGACTGGGGAGTTCACAAGAATGAAGAGTCAATAAGGCTATGCAAGGGGATCACAGGGGACCATTGATCTCCATACTGAGGATCTTGGACTATAATTGCATGGTCTTTGAAGAGGAAGTAGCTTCCAGATCACAATTTCAAACCAGTTTGGCAGCAGAGTAGAAGACAGACAGGAGCATGAGGAAAATTACTTATGTCCATGCAAAAACTTATACACAGTGTTCATTGCAGCGTAAATGTAACAGCCAAAACGACCAAAATGTCCATCAACAGATGAATGGAAAACATGTGGTATAGCCAAACAATGGAATATTATTTGGCCATAAAAAGGAATAAAGTACTGACAACACAAGCCACAACATGGATGAACCTTAAAAACATGATACTAAATGAAAGAAGCCAGTCACAAAGGCCCCCATACTGTGTGATTCCATTTATATGAAATGTCCAGGAAAGGCATATATATGGCGATAGAAAGTAGATTAGTGCTTGCCTACAGAGCCAAGTGAGGACTGACTGCTAATGGTTACAGCATTTTTTTGGATTGATGAAAATATTCTAAAATTGACTGTGGTCAGTTTTACAAAACCCTGTGACTATACCAAAAGCCACTAAAATGTGTATCTTAGGTGGGTAAATTGTATCTTATGTGAATATTTCAATTTAAAAAACCATAATGAGGGGCGCCTGAGTGGCTCAGTTGGTTAAGCGGCTGCCTTCAGCTCAGGTCATGATCCCAAGGTCCTGGGATTGAGCCCCACATCGGGCTCCCTGATCGGCGGGGAGCCTGCTTCTCCCTCTGCCTGCTGCTCCCCCTGCTTATGTTCTCTCTCTCTGTCAAATAAACAAATAAAATCTTTAAAAAAAAAAAACATAATGAAAAAAATCAAGTGGATGTGCAATATTGACTCATGTCTGAGATTTCAGTCTTAGATCAAACTTGTAGCCATCAGCATTGATCCTCTGGCCATTCATCAAAGCTGAGAGTATCTGTTTTATGCCTGCTTTCAGATCTGGAGTATTTTAATCTTTTATGCTGGAGCTTCCTGTCTGGCTTCTTTCACTTAGCATAATATTTTCAAAGTTCATTCATGTTGTAGCATGCATCAAAACTTCCAATCCATGAACATGGGATGTCTTTCCATTTATTTAGATTTTCTTTAATTTCTTTCAGCAATGTTTTCTAGTTTTCAGTGTACAAGCCTTGTCCTCCCCTTGGTTAAATTTATTTGTAAGTACTTTATTCTTTTTTTAAGTACTTTATTCTTTTTGATGCTACTGTAAAGTGAAGTGTTGTTTTAACTTCATTTTCAGTTTTCATTACTAGCATATAGAAATGCAAGTGATGGGGCACCTGGGTGACTCAGTTAGTTAAATGTGCCCAACTCTTATTTCAGCTTAGGTCATGATCTCAGGGTTGTGAGATCAAGCCCTGCACTGGACTCCATGCTGGGCATAGAGCCTGCTTAGGATTCTCTCTCTGGGGGCACCTGGGTGGCTCAGTTGGTTAAGCAACTGCCTTCGGCTCAGGTCGTGATCCTGGAGTCCCAGGATCGAGTCCCACATCGGGCTCCCTGCTGAGCAGGGAGTCTGCTTCTCCCTCTGACCCTCCTCCCTCTCATTCTCTCTCTCGCAAATAAAATAAATAAATAAATAAATAAAATAAAATCTTCTTAAAAAAAAAAAGGATTCTCTCTCTGTCCCCCCCACCCCCCACCAAAATCACTCTCTCCCTCTTAAAAAAAAAAAAAAAAGAAAAGAAATACAAGTGATTTCAGTATACTGACCTTGCACCCTGCAATTCTTTCTTCTTTAGTCATTTTTTTTTTTTAAGATTTTATTTATTTATTTGGGGGCAGGGGGAGGAGCAGAGGGAGAAGGAGAAGGACAAGCAGACTCTGCAATGAGTATGGAGCCTGACAGGGGGCTTAATCCCAGACTCTCAGATCATGACCTGAGCCGAAACCAAGAGTCAGACACCCAAACGACTGAGCCACCCAGGCGCCCCCTTCTTGAGTCATTTTTGATAGTGTATTTCTAAGAATTTGTCCTTTTACATCTCGGTTATCCAATGTGTCAGCGTACAGCTGGTCATAGTATTCCCTTTTAAGTATTCCTCTTATTATTATTATTAAGTAAATAAGTATTCCTTATTTCTGTGAGGTCACTAGGAATGTCCCCTCTTTTATTCCTGATTTTTAGTCTGCTCTCTTTTTTCCTTTGTCCATCTAGCTAAAGGTTTGTCAATCTGTTGATCTTTTCAAAGAACCAGTTTTTGTTTTCATTAATCTTTTCTACTGTTTTGTCTGCTCTAATCTTTATTTCTTTCTTTCTGATTGCTTTGGTTTAGTTTACTCTTCTTTTTCTATTTTCTTAAAGTGAAAGGTCAGGTTACTGATTTGAGATTTTTCTTTTTAAAGGCAGGTGTTTATGGCTATAAACTTCTCTCAGAGAGATGTTCCCAATGCCTCCTGTAAATTTCGGTATGTTGTATTTCACTTTCACTCTCCTTATTTTCTAATTTCCCTTGTGATTTATTCTTTGGCCCACTGGTTATTTAGAATTTGTGTTTTAATTTCCACTTAATTGTGAATTTTCCTTCTGTTATACACTTCTAATTTCATTTCACTGTGGTCAGAAAAGATACTCCATATAATCTCAATCTTTGTTCAAATTTATTGAGACATTTTATGACCCAACATATACCCTACCCTATCCTATAATGTTCTATGTGCACCTGAGAAGAATCTTTGATTCTGCTATGGTTGGGTAGGTCTGGTTATATAAATATGTGTTAAGTGTGTGTGTGTATATATATACATATATATATACACCCACACACACACATATATATGTACACACACACACATATATACATATATACAAATATGTAGTATCTAGTATCAAGTTCAAGTCTTATATGTCCTTGTTGATTTTCTATCTACTTATATCCCGATCATTTACTTTTATTTTTTTTTGCTAAGTAATTTTTTATTGCAGTAAAATATACATAAAACATATATAACATAAAATTTATCATTTTAACCATTAATGAAAATATTAATTTAAAGTAAAATAGATATGGGGTGCCTGAGTGGCTCAGTCATTAAACGTCTGCCTTCGGCTCAGGTCATGATCTCCAGGATCCTGGGATCAAGCCCCGCATCGGACTCCCTGCTCCACGGGAAGCCTGCTTCTCCCTCTCCCACTCCCCCTGCTTGTGTTCCCTCTCTCGCTGTGTCTCTCTCTGTCACATAAATAAAATCTTTAAAAATAAAGTTAAATAGGGGCGCCTGGGTGGCTCAGATGGTTAAGCGTCTGCCTTCAGCTCAGATCATGATCCCAGGGTCCTGGGATCGAGTCCCGCATCAGGCTCCTGGCTGAGCTGGGAGCCTGCTTCTCCCTCTGCCTCTGCCTCTCCCCCTGCTCATGCTATCTCTGTGTCTCAACTGAATAAATAAAATCTTAAAAAAAAAAAAATTTTTATAAAAAAAATAATAAAGTTAAATAAATATATTTTTACTCTTAGTTCAGATGAGATCTCAATGAAGGCAGTTAACAGGACTCAATTAAGAAAGGGTTATAGAATAGCTGAATAAAAGTACTGGAAAGATTAGCTACTCTGGAAAGGTAAAAAACGGATGCCATCCAAGTGACACTCAGCCAAGTCTGGGATAGACTTAAAGCAGGTTTTAATGCTTTAAGTCTATGGCACTTTCGGGGTGCCTGGGTGGCTCAGTCATTAAGCCTTCTTAAAATTCAGCATAGGATTCCCCATCTTAATGAGCTATGTAGCGAGCTATGACACTCTAGCAACTGGTGTGGCCACTGCTCACGTGGGACAAAGGAACCATATGATTAATTACCTGGTAGCCTTCTGTTTTCTTCTGACACCACTTCAGCAAGGCATTCCTCTTTGAACCTCCATATTCTCTCGCCAATGCTGACAGAGGGTCCTTCCTTTCTTCCCTAAGTGAAAACAAGGAACCCAAAGTTAAAATATTTTTTATTTGAGCTCCATTATAAACCAGAAATCCCACAAAGAAGAGAACAGTGTCGGTTTGCATTTTTTGAATAGGATAACTGCACACACTAAGACATCTAATGGTAAGATGTGTCTTCACTCATTTGATTTTACTTACCAATTTTTACAGGGCCCTCCTAGACCCATCACTGTCGGGGTTTCTGCTGCCTGAAGGGAGGGACTCTATTATCCACACGGAAACTGGCAAAGATTCAGCACAACGTGCATTCACAATGAATGGAATGCACTCCGGAACGCTCGGAAGGGGGAAAAATAACCTGACACTGGCAGCACCTGACAGCTGTCACGGCCGCCTTTCACCCAACATCTCACCCTTCCATAATCTTTATGCTTTAGTTTTATCTTACTCATTTTTGTTTCCAACCTTTTATATCCTCAATCATTTCCTCTTTTTAAAAAACAAATCACTTATTGTAAATACAAAGGGCAAGATTATGCAAGGTGAAGGATTATAAGGCATAGTTCCTACCTTTAGGTGCTTACAACTGGGGGAAGCAGATAAGACAACAGATGGCAACAAATATCCATAAAACATCTCAAATGTGTTTACTGCTACGTTATACACTCTTTATTGACTATAGGTAATTGGAATTTTATCTTGCATAGAAAAATGGGATTTTTCTGTAAATTCACTCACTCATTCAATACCTCCTTATACACCACTTTGCCAGGCAGTGTGCAAGTGCTGGGCAATGGGTAGTGAACAACACAGGGTCCCTGCCCCTCGAGGAACTTCAGAGTTTACTATAAGATAGATATATGTAGAAAGAAAAGAAAAGAAAGAAAAAGAAAATCCAACTGTGGCCACTTATAACTCATTTCTTAAAAATATACGTAGGGTACTTTTGGGCACTGTCAATTCCCTTGGAGGAAGAACAAATATCCTGCTCCAGATGAGACAATGAATCAAGATTTTGGGATCACTCTGGTGTATCTGATGCAAGGGAGGCATATAAGCCTACATATCCTGGACCAAATCCTTCCTTTTAGTAACGACTTTAGGACTACCTGGAGGGAGAGTACTTCTGAAATAACCTGCTCCTTCACAAGTGGCATACCCTTGAAAGCCTGGTCTAGTTTTTAGTGATTACTTTATAAATAAAGCAGAGATTCTATCCCACACCCCATAAACTTAGTCCAATAAGTGTCCCAAAGGTTATTATGTTACAAGCGGCTTAGTATTGTTCCGTGCATTGACTCTGTCTGTAGTCACCCTCCAAAGTAAGTTAGGAAATAAAAGAGTATACATTTAGAACTGAAGCTTTTACAATTGAGAGGTGCACTGAAGCAGCACCGATCTGATTTATCTTAGAACCAGAAGTAAAATACAAAAATTTCCAACCAGCAGTTAAAACTGCTGCCTTGAAGAAATATACTTTTATGCTTGCATGCCAGCCCACCAGACTCCTGCTTTGGTTTAAAAAGTTCAAAGTTTGTTATAATACCACCAAGCACAGGAAAAGAGAATGAAGATAAAGTTAAGATATGTGAATGAACACAAAAAAGCAAGCAAGCAAATAAATAAATAAATAAATCTCCATCATGCTCAAACTAAAACTACTATAATCAATGTGAAAGGTTTATTCTGGCTCACACCAGGTCTGTTTGGTTACAGAAACAGCTTAAAAAGCATCAAAGAAGAGTAATTCTATGGATTACAACGAGAAGCTGCAAAAAAAGATCCTTCCAAAGCCGGGGGGGGGGTCATCTCTCATAACTTCTTCATTGTAAGATGAAGACACTTTCGGGGTGCCTGGGTGGCTCAGTCATTAAGCCTCTGCCTTCGGCTCAGGTCATGATCCCAGGGTTCTGGGATCGAGCCCCGCACTGGGCTCCCTGCTTGGCGGGAAGCCTGCTTCTCCCTCTCCCACTCCCCCTGCTTATGTTCCCTCTCTTGCTATCTCTCTCTGTCAAATAAATAAATAAAATCTCTAAAAAAAAAAAAAAAAAAAAAGATGAAGACACTTTCCAGGAGATGCCTTGTTGAAAATCACAGCTTCTGAGTAGGGAAGCCAGGAAGAGTGGGTGCCCTTCCCACAGGCACACTGCAGGTAGCCTACCACCCAGGACAGAGACAAGCATGGACAGTGCTCTCCCTGCATCAGCTTGGGCAGAGCCAAGAGCTACCCTCATCACTGCACCCCTACTTGCTCGGATGGCGCACTGTTGACGGGACCACTATTCTAAGGGGCTGGGCCCCTAGAGGCAGGGCTTTAAACACAAGTATATAATTTGAGTTTGACAGGCCAACTATTCCATTTTATCCAATATGAGGATAAAATGGAATGTCAATATAAAGCTAAGGTTCTGAAACCCACTCCTATCCCTCCAATTCTTCTCAATACACTTCAATATCCCTATAACAATGTATGCTTCATTTCTGACATGTTTTTTTTCCTCTAAATGATAACTACTTCTTCTTTTTTTTTTTTTTTTAAGATTTATTTATTTATTTGAGAGAGTGAGAAAGTACATGAGAGGGGGGAGGGTTAGAGGGAGAAGCAGGCTCCTCGCCGAGCAGGGAGCCCGACGCGGGACTCGATCCAGGGACTCCATCCAGGGACTCCAGGATCATGACCTGAGCCGAAGGCAGTCGCTCAACCAACTGAGCCACCCAGGCGCCCAATAACTACTTCTTAATCCCAAGTGGCTTCTGACATTAGAGAAATACAAATAAAATATACTATTCCATTTTCAGGTATTGTTTATCAGTGATCAGTGTGGCATCACGTTCTCAGCTTCCAATCTAAAACAATTAGAGTCCCCTTTGGTAGCTCTCCTTCTTTCATTCCTTTTCTAGACATCTGTTTGCCAGAATCAATCATCTTTCCCTTTGAAAAGCCTCCAGAGTCCCAACCTCCCTTCACCATTTCCACTGCTATCATCCTGATCTGGGCTTGGTATCTTTGTCCCAGAAACATCATAATGTCATTTTAGTTGTGTTCCCCAACTTTTGTCCACAACAGAAGAATCCCTGAATCACCTTCTCACATTGATTTACTTACCCCACTTTATAGCTACTACCACATCCAAGTGACTCAATTGGACTATAAAGAGGTTCCATGTCTAGCCACACCCTACTGTCAATCTTTTTCTCCACGGCCCCTGGATGTGATAGGTCCACACCTTCCTCTGGCCTTCTGTACCCATCCTCTGTGCATGTGCAGTACCCCCTACCCACAGCTCCCCAACCCTCAGTTACTCACCCTTCTATACATTGGCTCACGTCACTGACCTTGCCAAAGATACCAGCCCGCCCTCCCCACCCAGACGCCGCTCCTCTCGGAAGCCTTCCCTAACCCTCCACCCAAGCCCAATATTCCAATTCTACAACGCTTACTTTTGGGGAAAGGAAGCAACTCTTTTACATTGCCTTTCTTTTTATTATACCATCTTACCCAATTCTGGGCATAGAAGAGTTGAGGAAACATTTAATAAGACACAAAGAAAAAAAATCAGTGCTCGACTGCCATTATTTTACAACCTGATCACCAACCTCCAAAGGCCAGGAGACGTATGCATGAAATGCATCAGTATTAACTGTTCTCTACCTTATCCGACTTCGGGTGGTGGGGGTAACAGATGCCGTGGGAGAGGAGGACAGGGAAAGCTGTGGAGACGTGGTTCCCATAGCCATAAGAGAGGCCGGCGACGCTCCCTCAGGTGCAGAGATGTCTCGTTTCATCTCTTCACTACTTCGTCGAGACACTGATTGTGAGAAACAGTCATTATGCATTTTATAGAAATCTAGAAAAACATTTACTTTTATAAAACACTTTTAAATTGAGTTGAGATATTTTCTTCAGCAGGTTCCAAAAAGAGCAGAACTTACCATATATGAGGAAAAACTAACATTTTCATTATCATACTGGTAACTTGAAAGGATTTATTCCTTTCACTAAGAAAACTGTAAAAAAGGTACAGCAGTTGAAATATGCACTGAACCCCACATTCCCTGAAGGTAGGAGTGTGTCTTACCCATCCCCATTAACACTCACAGAACCTATGTAGCATATAGTTGAGTATTCCAGAAATGTTCATTTAATCACAAATACAATGAAAACCAAAGGCTAATTAAAGCAATACTTGGCTGCTATTCACTGTCAACTAAAATAAACATAACCTTTCTACACTTGGCCAAGATACCATTAAAAGGAAAGAAAGGAAAGATACTTCATTTCAGGGCCACACTTAATTCTGGATCAGGCCATGTTTCTAAAAACATGAACCAGTGAGACAAACAGAAAACCAAAAGGTGTCAAGTCAACTACTGAGAAACAAGTTCAGGAAAGTTCTATTTTGAAAGGCTAGCACAGTAAGACATCACACCTTGTCAGAACTACAGAAAGTTCTCAGAACTGCTAAGTGGAAGTAGCCCCGTGCTTCAGCCGCTTCAGCCGTTGGTAACAGAGCCACAACAAAAGCCACTTTCTAGCAAGGAGGCGCTGACTAAGTGCAGGTGCTCGCGGCCCTGGGCTAAATTCGGAGAGAAAGGAAACGTGAGCCAAAGTTCCTGACCTCAGACACACGCTCTCACATCAGAAGATGCTGGATGTGCAGATGCCCCGAGCTGGCTGTAATCAATGCTGTACATCAGTAATTCTTCCCCGATGACTGAACTGGCCACCCCTCTTATTGACTAAAATGTTCTTGGTGATTTTAGGATAGCCACAACAGAACATAACTCTGCATTAGTAAAGTGATGTCTGTAAAGATCCAGAGAAGAGAGATGCTTTCTCCTATTACATGATCTTATTAGAATGATGTATTTATACATATTTCTGACATAATTTTATAATTATTCTTGTTTTTTCTTTCATGTCAGATCTTCATATGCCTTAAATCAGCAGTTTCAGTGGTGTGCTAGAAAACTGGCTGAGAACACCTTTCATCATTTTATATAAAATAGAGGAAACTGAGAAAGAATCGGAAGGACTCTGTGAGAAGAAAAGGCTTTGGGATGGTAATTTTGGCTGGACTTCCCACTAATATAAAGACCTGGCTATGACGTCTAAAAACTGTACTAACTTAAATCCCCGTACAAGTGGAAGGTTAACTGTATGAGGCAGAGTTACAGGAATTTCTCCTTCCCTGGTCCAATTTCTAGTTGAGTTATAAAGGGTAAATAAAGGCCACAAAGGGAAAATAATGTGAGCAATTGATAAAATGGAGTTAGCCCTAGGAGACAAGGGGAGCCTGTCAAATTCACATTGTAGGATGGCTTTAGCATACTGGAAAAATCTGGCTTCTGGAGAATTTTTGGTGTGCTCCGAAATAAGCCCTGACACACTTTAGGATGGATAGCCTAATCTTTCACAACTACACTGACTGTGTATCAAGCTATATTTTTGGCACAACATCTAACCCGCTCTAGGCCTTTCTTAAATACTTGTTAAATAAATGGAATGATCTAGTTTTGAGGGTTTTTTGTTTTATTTATTTTAAAGATTTTATTTAACAGAGAGAGGGAGAGAGAGAGGACACAAGCAGGGGGAGCTGCAAAGGGAGAGGGAAAAGCAGGCCTCCTACCAAGCAGGGAGCCCAACATGGGGCTCGATCCCAGAACCCTGGGATCATGACCTGAGCCTAAGGCAGACACTTAACAGACTGAGCCACCCAGGTGTTCCTGCTTTATTTTAAAATTACAGCCATGAAATGTGATTTCTATAGAATCTGGAAGATACAACAGGGGAAATTCAGAGTGAAAAATAATCAACTCAAGGGGCACCTGGGTGGCTCAGTCGGTTAAGCATCCAACTCTTGATTTCAGCTCAAGTCATGATCTCAGGGTTGTGAGATCAAGCCCCACTCCAGGCTCCTGGCTGAGTGGGTAGTCTGCTTGAGTTTCTCTCTCTCCCTGCCCCCTCCACGCATTCTCTAAAATAAAAATAAATCTTTAAAAAGAAAAAGAATCAACTCAAGAGCTAAAGAGGCAAGAAAAGTTAAATAAGTCTAAAGAGAAAGCATTCAGTACCATTACTAAAACTTCTGGAAGAGTCTTTCTAAAGGAAATTCTAGATAAAAAGTCGTTACCTGAGATGGTCTTGGCACTTTCCATGGCAGGTACTCTCGGCAGAGAAGCAGGTCGGCTGGTTGAAGATGTTCTTAATAGATGCTCTGCACAAAATGGGAAGGGTCAAAATAAAGACATCAGACACTGAACTTGAAGTCACAAAGGTAGCAGGAAGGTGAGCTCTCCTCCTCTCCCCCCCCACAAGCTCATCCTTCTTTCTCAATCTGGGGCACTCTAACAATCCCCCATGGAGCCCATGTCTACAAAAGAGCTTCCATAGACAAGGACCGTGGGAAAACATTTCATTCAGTGTTTGATTTCTAGGGATGAGATTTGACACAGATGAATGCTTCTAAATCACCAACTGCTACTTACCTCTCTGACACAATTCAACCAAAATTCAAAGATCCTCTCTGTCGGTCTAAAAGTACAGACTAAATCAAAGCCTTGCCCTTATGTTCCTACCGATAGTGGGGAAGCCATACATACACACAACCAGAGACAAAGCAAAGTAAGTAAATCGGAGAAAGACATGTATCATAGGCCCTCACTGATATGAGGAATTCTTAATCTCAGGAAACAAACTGAGGGTTGCTGGAGTGGTGGGGGGTGGGAGGGATGGGGTGGCTGGGTAACAGACATTGGGGAGGGTATGTGCTATGGTGAGTGCTATAAATTGTGTAAGGGAAAAATGAGGGGGGGGGGAATCGGGAGGGGGAGACGAACCATGAGAGACTATGGACTCTGAAAAACAAACTGAAGGTTCTGGGGGGGGGGGGGAGGGGGATGGGTTAGCCTGGTGAGGGGTATTAAGGAGGGCATGTACTGAATGGAGCAGTGGGTGTTATACACAAACAATGAATCATGGAACACTACATCAAAAACTAATGATGTGGGGTGCCTGGGTGGCTCAGTTGTTAAGCGTCTGCCTTCGGCTCAGGTCATGATCCCAGGGTCCTAGGATCAAGCCCCGCATCGGGCTCCCTGCTCAGCGGGAAGCCTGCTTCTCCCTCTCCCATTCCCCCTGCTTGTGTTCCCTCTCTCGCTGTGTCTCGCTCTGTCAAATAAATAAAATCTTAAAAAAAAAAAAAAAAAAGAAGTCTCACAGCTTAAAAAGCCTAAAAAAAAAAACAACTAAAGATGTAATGTATGGTGATTAACATAACATAATAAAATAAAAAAAAAGAGGACTGGACAATTAGAACAAGAATGACAAAGTATTATCAAACTGCAGAGTGAGAAGCCATTCACTTTGATTTCAGGCAGCAGGGAGGTCTTCAACAACATAATGACATTAAGCTGGGCTTTACCAGTAGAGAAGTGGGGACAGTATCTCAGCCAGAAACAAGGAGAACAAAGGTATAAGGACATTCGAGTTACAAAACAGTAAAATTCCAGTGTGGCCTCAACACAGGGCATATGGAAATCAGAGAGGGCGGCAGGAAAAGGGGCTTTGAAGGGGAGATGAGGCTGATCGACAAGAGCCTCCATTACCTGGTATGTGGACTTCAGTCTGAGAGCCACCAGGAAGCCCCAGACCTTTCTGAGAGTTTGGGAAGGAAGCATACAGGTACCGCCTCTACGCCCAGCTTGCAGCCGTGCCCTACACCACCCCTCCCTTGCTCTCTAGACTCGAGCTGCCCTGGCACTTTCTGGAGTTCCTCAAACATTGGCACAAGCTGCTCCCCGCCTGCTGTTCTCCTCCATTCCCGCTGCAGCCTGGCTACCTTCATCATCCTTCTGGTCTAGCCTCAACCTCACTTCCTCAGGACCTGCCCGTGCCCCCCTCCCACCCCCGGATGGCAGCCCCAAATAGACCAGCACACTTCTTCCCTCAGGCTGCAAGCCTGACAAGGCTGTCATCAGGCCAGGACGACAAGCACCAGGACGGACAGACTAGATGTGTTCTGCCAGGTTGCCACATGCTAAAGATGCGTGATCAGCATGAGGGAAAACACCACCTCTTAAACTTACTGAACACCATTAGCCTCACTATCCAAGAATGGCCCCACAGCAAACATATTTTAACAGATCATTCACCACTTCTTTTTAAGAACTGACAATTTAAGAAATAGTTCCTCTCAGGGCGCCTGGGTGGCTCAGTTGGTTAAGCGACTGCCTTCTGCCTTCGGCTCAGGTCATGATCCTGGAGTCCCGGGATCGAGTCCCGCGTCGGGCTCCCTGCTCGGCAGGGAGTCTGCTTCTCCCTCTGACCCTCTCCCCTCATGTGCTTGCTCTCTCTCATTCTCTCTCTCTCTCAAATAAATAAATAAAATCTTTAAAAAAAAAAAAAAAAAAAAAAAAAAAAAATAGTTCCTCTCAGAATACCATAATGTCAAAAGTATGGCATGACATCTTTCAAGGATAGTGCACCTATTGTTCCAGAATCTATTTTCTAAGTGTATGAAGAACATTTGGTTACCAAATGTTGTAACTACACACAACTTTGGGAAGGATGTACTTACTTTCTTAATGAAGATAGGACTTATATAGCCTAGAGTCACTACATCTTTCCAAACCTGAACAAACATCACCTCTGTGCAAAGAGCCCACAAGCAAGCATCAATCAGAATTCTGAACCCTGTCAGCAGTTGGCATTCATCCTCACAGGAAGAGCATATTATGCACAAAGTCTGACAGACAAAACAAAGTTAGTAGAACACGGAAATAGTAGGAAACAGAAATCAACATTTTTAATTTAATCAAAATTTCCATTTTACAATTATGCAAGTAGTCATATCCCTAAAATCTTAATCTCCCAAAGAACATAGCAAATGAAGGTGAAAACAAAGCTTGTAGAGACAAATGAATCCAAACAAGGAGTGTGTCGGCTAAGGCAATAAGCCCTCGTCATTCCCTACAGGGAAAGTGTTTCTAAATTACCTTCTTTCTTTCTCTTTCACACTGTACACTATAGGCGCACAACTGAAACAAAGTTCACGAAATTTACTGCTGATTCCTTTGCTCAACCCTGGTTAAGGCTTTCCTTACTGCATGTCTAAGGAGCTGTCTCCATTCAGTAGGTGGTCCCCTACCACAGACCAACACCTACTTTTTGAAAATGTACAAAATTGTACTGAAGGCCTCAATAAGTTATTCTTTTCAAAATTCTTTGTGGTCAACTTCAACGGGCACAACACAGTCTGCTGCCATTCCATGAAGTGTTTTCATTGTGAGACTCACACTTGCTCAGAGGCTCTTGTCCCATTGTGAGCACATGTCCATTTACTACTGCTGTCAGCCGCTGGGTTCAGTCTGCATGTTAAACTGTCAGTTTATCGCTCTTCAGCAAATAAGATTAGTGTATTACAGTCATATGTGGCAAGCAGGAGAGATTATATTTTATAGTAACAGAGTCTATTCTACTGCCGTTTGGAGCTTTTCTTGTCTTTAATCCATTCATTAAACAAAAATCATTTGGGTGTCCACTACTTGCTAGGCACTGGGCTTGGTGAGAAGGTTAGAGAAAGGAACAAAGGAGGCAAGAAATTTACCCTTACAGAACTCAGAATCTAGAGCAGAAGCCAGATATTTAAAAAAAAAAAAATCATTACAAGTGAGGGATGCTAGGAAAGAACAAGTACATGGGGCTCTGGAAACACAATAGGGGATGTGACCTGCTCTTGAGGGGAGGTCCGGAAAAGCCTCCTCAGGAAATGACATCTCAGTTCAGATGAGAAAGGTAATTAATAGCTTTTACACAGGCAAAGGAGAGGTTGAAGGGGAGACAGTGTTCTCAGCTGAGTGCTCAGCACACACCAGAACAACTCCAGAGCAGCGACGTTCAGAGGACGGGGAAAAGAGCAGATGAGAGGGCAAAGGCAGGCTGGGAGGGCCAGAACAGGCAAGGGAAAGCATGCAGGCGATGCAGGCCAAATTAAGGAGTTTGGACTGTATGCTGTTAGCAATGGGGAGCCAATGAAGGCACTTAACCAACTGAGCCAAGATGTGAGCATTTTTAAATGACAATGGAAGAGAGCCAGTAGACAGGGTAAAGCTGAAGATCTGAGGCTAACAGCATCTGTGACAGCCAAGGGGGTGAGATCCAGGGCTCAGGGGGAAGAGATAACCTACACAGAGATGTTCTGTTCACATCCAACAGACAGGCAGCGGTAACAGGAGCATACTAGGTCTGCTACTTAATTCTCTCTTATTTTAGAAATCACAGAAATAAACAGGTACAGGCAGTTGTCCCTTTATTGTTTCCCAAAACAAATTTACAGGCAAAATAGTGGGTTTTAAAATAGGAGCCTAAATAGCCAACTTCTGTTCAGAGAGTAGTTCCAAACGGACTGATGCTCCTGCCAAAAACGAGTATAAAATCTGAAAAAAAAAAAAAATGAAAATCAACCACTTAAAGGCACTGAAGAGAATCCAAAAGCAGGCAGAAAATGAAAGGAGTAAACGCGTGGAAGAATGAAAAGAGCACGGGGCAAGTTTCCCAGTTTATGGCTATAGGCATGAGTGCGGGCCCCAGGTGAGGCCATACAGGACAGCTGGTAGAACACACAGCTTTACTGCACTGAAGAAGCAGAAGACAGGTCTCAGGACAACCAAAGCTGCTGAAAAGGGGGAAATACCAGAAAGAATCACAAATTCTATATATAGACTCTGCCCAATTCTCTCACTGACCTCTGAAAACCACAAGCACTCAGATTCCAAGGAGTTGAAATTAAGGACAAAATAACTGAACAGGGATTTCAATTGAAGGAAAAGAGGTTAGATGGAGTTTGAGATGAGCCAAGGTAACTGCTATGCTATCAAAAAACAAATTTCTGCAGAGGAACAAAACAGAAAACAATCTCTACAACGTGTGATTCACACCAGCCAGAATAGAATTCAAAACTACTAGACATACAAAGAGAGAGAAAAAAGTGACCCATATGCAAAAGAAATGGAAACCCACCCAAAGATAACCCATGTTGGAATTACCAAATTTAAAGCAGCTATTACAGATAAGCTCGACATTATAAAATATATATATATATGTTCTCAACAAATGAACAATGAGCAATCTCAGCTGAAAGAGTTACAAGAGTGTGAGACCGGCGCTCCCTGAGACGCAATATGCAAGGGCAGCCGAGAGCAGAATGTGGAGCAGACA